ATCTTTAAAATGGAAGGTGAAATAGCATCCATTTGAGTTTTAGTAAAAATCAGATGTAACTTGTGATTTGTATTATTATTTATTAGTGACAGCTAAGGTTTGGAGTCTGGAAGAGGCTTGGATGTGATCACTGAGCCAGGAACTGGCAAAGCAAGGACAAGAACCCATGTGTGCTGATTTCAGGGACTAACCCTACTCTTTGCCTCAGATTGCAGCTGCCAAACTTTGGATTCAAAGGCACCAGGCAAACTGGACCCTTGCATTGACTTACAAGGACTTATGTTTTAGCATGAGACTCCTGGACCTACCCACTGCATGTAGGTGTCACCTCTGTAGCTTGCTATATTCCAGCCACAAGCACCCATTAAGTGAGGGTGTTGTGTGCTTACCAGGTGAGTGCTGTTTAAAGGCCAGAAACCTGCAGCTAAGGGAGCACTGACACTCTGCCAGTTCAGCCTGACAGTGGGATGGTGGACTGAACACAGGTGGGGGTTGCATGTTGGCCTGTCTATAATGGGGATCAGTTTCACTTGACCCCAGAGGGCCACGCAGGCTTCTCAGGCTCCTGTTACTACTTCTGTAGCACCTTTACCCTTCTTTCCTGCATGTGCTTTTGGTTCTCTGAGAACGATAATCAATGGGGCTCGTGCTGAGCACAGTAATCACTTGGGTTGGTACTGCAGCTGGGAGGGTGAGTGAGGGATACCAGATGCCCCATGGAGGCAAGTCTAGTGGTGGAGACAGACACACAATTGTGGAAATAAATGTCAAGAAAATTTGGTGCAGGATGCCCTGAGAACAAATAATGGGACTGGCGTATTCCTGGGCATAACACAGAGCTGCTCTAAAAAGCAACTGGCATCCAAGGAGAGGCAGAGGAAGGAGGAAAAAAAAAGAGGGAAGGGAGCATTCTAAGAGAAGAAATTGGAGGGTATGACAATTCAAGGAAAAAGAGGTAGAGGAAATTATTTGTCCAATGATCTTGGATCTCTCATAAGGCTTATGTGTCTTCTGGGGATTGAGGTCACAATATGCCCCTGTGTTCTGCCAAATGCTTCTCCTTCTATTCTTCACAACTGAACACCTTTTGACTAGGAAAACAAGTAGTAACATAAAAGAGAATTTTTTTTTTGTTTTATTTTAAAATTGTGCAGGGCTCTTAATGTGTCAGTTTCAAGTAAAAAAATAAAAAACAAAATAAAATCCATTCACCTCACATTCACAATTGCTCACATCTTTCTGGTTAACTCTAAAGGCATCAGTTTCAGTAATGGACTGGAAGCCACAACTGCTAATCAGTATTCTCCTGGGTGTTATCTCTGATTCATGGCTTCAGATCAGGGAGGTAGCAATAGAACTTTGTTACCAGGTGATAGTTTTCACGTAGCTTGTGTGACATTGCCTGGTTGCTTCCACACAATTTTAGAAGCTACAAAGCCATCCAATATCTATGATCTCGAGTGACATCATCCAATGGATGAGACAGGTGCTATGATTTCCACTTCATGGAGAATAAGTGTTCAAGAGACAACAGATATTCCTTTTATCAATGTCTAGGAACTGGGCTTTCCGTTGTTTCTAGCAGTGGTGAGGCAGATAAGGTCCCCCAGCAAGCTGAACTGATTCCCAGGTGGTGCATTTCGTAGGTGGTGAATACTAAGAAAGAACCACCATTTCTGAAAACGATGTCATTGATTATATTAAGTCATGGATACTTCTTAAGTTAATGAAAGAGCTAGAAGAAACAAGTGGTGGCCTGGGCTGGGAAACATCATGGTGTCTCTAGCAACTCTTCAGGTGGTTTAAGGTATGTGGATCTGAAAAGGCAAGGGTAGGGGTGGGGAAACCCAGGCATTGCCCTGATGTTGCCAGAGGCTCCATGTGGGGAGGTGCTGTGACTTTTGTCATCTATTAATGGGATTGGGAGTGGGATCCTTAGAGCACATGTTCCCAGCTGGTGGCTGGGGAGAAGGATCATGGTGTAATCTGGTAAAATGAGAGCTCTGTAGCAACAGCCCAGCCTGGCCTAGAACCTTGATTCTGCTATTTGGGGGCTATGTGGCTCTGGTCTACCACTCACCCTCTTTAATTCTCAGTATTCACATCTGTAAACTGGAAATTGCAAACTATCTCTTCGGACTGTAGAAAGATTAGTGAGATGGTGCCTGCTAAGTGATTTGGATGGTGCTCAGCTAAAAGCAGCTATTAGAGTGAGTGAGGATTATAGCAGCTCAGGCACCTGGCACCTCACTTTCCTGTAGAGCAATATGCACAGCCCTCTGTGTGAGATGGTCTTTCTCAGTTCGGGAGGGTAGTTGCTTTGCACATTCTGGGTGTCCAAGACCCAGTTTTACTTGTCCACTCCTGATATTCATAACATGGCTCCTTCTGCTCCCTCTTCCAGCCAGGCTGAATTACTTTCTTTTCTTGGGAAATATTGAGCTAGTTGTTGCCACAAAGCTATGGATATGATCCTCTTTGTATGGATCACATGGCCTCAGATCTGCCCATGTATTTGACTCTTACAGTTAGGCTTTGGCCTGCTGCTTCCTAAAAGTGTCCTTTTTGACATCAGTGTTTAAAGTAGCCCCTCTTTCTCAAAACCCTGTAGCCCTCCCATCACTTCACCACACCACGCTGCTGGATCCTCTGTATCACGCACCCATTTGGAAAACAACTTGTTTATTTACTCATTTGACCTTTCCCCTAATTTTATTTTAAACTCCACATGTAGCAGGGTTGGAGTCCCTGTGGGCACCCCCTGAAAGTCAAGGTGTGGAGATGTAAGGAGGAAGCCCAACCTACAGTGGAGACCCCTAAGATTAAGAAATGCCAGTAATGTGGGATGTCATTCTTGGAAAGCTGCAGGAATTGAGCAGAGAGACAAGCCAACTGAAAGGCCACTTGGGCTGCAAGTCCTTTGGAGAGAATATCATGATGCCATGTGTCCCAGATGCTGAACATGGAGCTACAGGACTTGTTTGCCCAGCTGGATATTGGTCTTGCTGTGGTCCTATTCCTTCTTTCTATACCCTTAATTTTGTGAATGGAAATATTTACTCTGTATCATTATACAATCTCACATTGTAAGCTCCTATAAAATTAAAATTGCTTTTAATTTTATAGGAGCTTACAATGTGAGATTGCCTTGAGTCTCTTGAGAAGATTTTGGACTTGAATTTTAAGCAATATTGGAACTGTTGAGACTATGGGGACTCTTGGGAATGGATTAAATGTATTTTGCATTGTCAGATGAGTGTGAGCTTTTGGGGGCCAGGGACAGAATATTATGGTTTGGATGTGAGGTATCCCCCAAAACTCATGTGTGAGACAATGCAAGAAGGTTTGGAGGAGAAATGATTGTGTTATGGCCTTAAACTAATCAGTGAATTAATTCCCTGATAGGGATTAACCAAGTGGTAACAGGAGGCGGGGTGTAGATGGAGAAAGTGATTCATTGGAAGTGTGGCTATGGGGTATTTGAATCTTGCAAGTGGATTCTCTCTCTCTCTCTCTGTCTCTCTGTGTCTCTCTCTGCTTTCTGATCATCATCTGAGCTACTTCTCTCTGCCACACTCTCCTGACATGATATTCTGCCTCCCCTCAAGCCCTAAGGAATGGAGCCAGCTTTCTATAAACTAAGACCTCTGAAACCATGAACCCACGAATAAACTTTTCCTCCTCTATGATTGTTCCGGTCAGATCTTTTAGTCACATAGTGAAAAAGCTGACTGAAACAGTGCCCCTGAGTTCATCCTTGGTACAAAAAAAAAATATTATGTACATATATTTTATATACATAAAACCTTTTGAGATTCCCTCTAACAGCAGCCACTGTCATTCTCTAAAGCCAGTGCTTGCTGCAGTGGCAGATACTGTTAACATGAAGAGAGACTTTTGAGTTCATCTTTGAGATCAAGTCTGGAGATGAGATGTCCCAGCTCATGATCTGAGGCAAGCAAACCCTGCATCCTGCTAGTGATGATGAATCTGCCCTTCCTCATATTCTCTAAATGTAAACAATCTTGTGTAGTAGAAAACATCCTCAATATGTTTTATTTGTTTGAACAATCGCCTGACCAGGACTGACTCCATAATTTGCGGGTACCAATGCAAAGTGAGAATGCAGGGCTTCATGTTAAAAAGGTATTCAGGAGCATGCCTGGAATCCTAGTGGCTTGGGAGGCTGAGGCAGAAGGATCATAAATTCAAAGCCAGCCTCAGCAACTAAGTGAGGTCCTGTCTCAAAATTAAAAAAAATAAAGATGGCTGGGTATGTAACTCAATGGTAGAATGCCCCTGGGTTAGATCCCTAATACAAATTGAAAAGAAAGAAAGAAAAGGAAGGAAGGAAGGAAGGAAGGAAGGAAGGAAGGAAAGAAGGAAGGAAGGAAGGAAGGAAGCAAGGAAGGAAAGAAGGAAGGAAGGAAGAAAAAAGATGATTCAAGGTGGTTACAGTGGAATATTAAACCAAACATGAGGTCTTTTAAATGCAGATCCCTATGTGACAGAGTAACTCACATACCTATGGAATCAGCCTGGTTTTGACCCCCCAGAGAGGTTTTCAATGTCACTGCAATTTTGTGTTCCTGAACAAGTGTGATTTTTATTTTCAAATGTAATAGCCTCTCCAAGTTTGATTCCTCACAAATATGTGCATGGTTTATATTCATTTCAAAGAACAAGATTCCTTTCAAATGAGAGCAGGTTAAGATGGATGTGTGAAGAATTGAGGGAGGCCAGGTGCAGTGGTGCAGGCCTGTAATCCCAGTGACTCTAGAGGCTGAGGCAGGAGGATCACAAATTCAAAGCCAGCCTCAGTAACTTAGCAAGACCCTATGCAACTGAGCTAGAAAATACAAAAGTAGAAAAATAGAAAAAGGGCTGGGGATGCAGCTCAGTGGTTAAGTGCCTGTGGGTTCAAGCCCCAATACCAAACGAACAAAAGCAAAACAACAACAACAACAAAAACAACAAACAAACAAACAAACAAACCAAAAAACACAGAGGGGAAAGAGACCTAGGCATTTCTGTTGTTTAGCCTTCACATTTGTTCCCATATGCAGAACCCTCCCTGACAAGGAGAGCTGAGTTCAACATCTCATGTCTGTGCTTTTTGTTTTTGTAGAGCTAGTTACTTACCTGGGTTAAGTGACCCAGTTAAGTTAAATGGGGATAACTCAGTGCTGAGTCATGTTGGAAAGACATAGTTCTTGTAATGTCTGGATGCTCAGTAGTTGTTCATTTATTTCTTCCTGCCGTCTGGACCTAGGTCTCTAATCTCAGTGGATCAAGACACAGGATCTTGAGCATCAGAAGGATGTTGAGGAATAAAATGGTTTGTCGGGCAGGTAAGCATGTACATGCTTATGTATTTAGATTTATTTTCCGGATGATACCAGACAACTGCCTGACCCTGCCCTGAGAGAGCTGCCTTCTCTGTAACTGTTGAATTTTGTTGTGATATGGGAACCCTAGGACCAAGCCTGAAAGGAGGAAAGTGAGGTAGATATAAACGAAAATTTAATACGAGCAATTGGCTTATGTAACTGTGGTGGTTGAGAAGTCCTATGATCTGCCACATGTAAGTTGGAAAACCAGTAAAGCCTCTGGTACAATTCTATTCGAATCAGAAGGCCTGAGACTTGGGGGAGTGCATGGTCCAAATCCCAGACTGAGGGCTGGAGATTAAATGTCCCAGTTTAAGAACTAAATCAAGAAAAAAAAAAAGGGGGCAAAGTTTTTCTTCCTCTGCCTTTTGTTCTATTCAGAACCTCAATGGATTAGAGAATGCCCACCACCCTTGTTGGGTAAGGGTCAATCTTCCTTTCTCAAATTCAAATGTTAATTTCTTCTGGAAACACACATCCAGAAATAGGATAATCTGGGCACTCCATGTCATGTCCCCATTAAGTTGACATGTAAAATCAACTATGCTCACACCCAGTGGCTCCTCTACCTTTGGTTCTCAAAGTGTATCCCTGAGACAGTTTCAAGAAGAAAGTGCTAAATCCACATTCCCAGAAGTGATAAATCACAGTGTCCAGAATCACATCTGGTTTGAGAATTCAACAATATTTATTTTAGTTGGCTTTTTTTTTTTTTCTGCTGTGACTAAAACGACCCAACCAGAAAAATTGTAGAGGAGTTTATGTAAGGGATCACAGTTTCAGAAGTCTTAGTTCATAGAAGGCCAGCTCCATTCTTAAGGGATTGTGGTGAGGCAGGACATCATGGAGGAAGAGTGTGGCAGAGGGAAGTGGCTCACATGATGATCAGAAAGGGGAGAGAGAGAGAGAGAGAGAGAGAGAGAGAGAGAGTGAGTTAGTTCACTTGCCAGATATAAATATATATAACCCATACCCCCTCTGCTTCCAGCCACCACTCAGTTAATCCCATCAGGGATTAATTCACTGATTTAGGTTAAGGCTCCCATAACCCCATCATTTTTCTTCCAAACCTTCTTGGATTGTTTAACACATGAGCTTTTGGGGGCATACCTCAAATCCAAACCATAACAATATTTTTAGGAGATTCTGATTAATTATTAATTTATAATTAAATACCACTGGACGAGTACAAACCTTTTATTTCACAGAGAAAGGAACTAAACACTGGAGTCACACCCTTTGAAATTCAATGATCAATTTTAGGTAAGAAATAGACATCCAAAATTTGAGGATTAGAACCAGATTCCTATCAAAGAAAATGGAAATGATCACAAGATTTGGACCTATCAATCATTTCCCAGCTGTTTGAGCAAGAGAATTGGCTAACATCATGGGGCTGGAATGTGATGGACACAGGACGAGAACCTGAGGTAACTGACTCCTTAAGCAACTTTCTTTCCAGTATGTTCTTTTCTGTTTTGCTCAAGTCTAGCCAATGAGTTGAATTGATTTGACTCAAGTGGTATCAATCCTTTCTGTCTTAATGAGCAGCTCGTTTGCTAGACTTCCAAAATCAATGCTTACCTTTGTTTGGAAGTTTATAATTCCTTTCCTTTTCCCTTATTGAGAAGGGTCAAACCTGCATACACACTGGGCTCAAGTCACCAGTTGTCCAGGGGACAGAATGCACAGTGAGATGCCATCACTGCTCCATGTTTTTTGTCAGCCTTCTTCCTCAGGTATGTCTGGTAGATGCTGCAGCCCATCCTCCTGGCAGTGCCATGATGGTCACAGTTGCTCTTCTCTGCAGCCAGAAAAAGGAGTAAGAGGAGCATAGCAGATTCTTTGAAAACACGCTCCCTGATTCAGCCAGGTTCACCTACTTTCATTTTTTTTTTATATCTTTAATTAAGAACTGAAAAGGTCCTTTGCCCTGAAAGATGAAGTCCGATAAATGTCCCATTATTAGCACATACCACCTTTGGAGTGACATGATTCACACTGGGATTAAACGCAAATTGGTGTTTAAGAGTAATTAGCCCCAGTGACCTGGAAGTCCAGGGAGCACCCAGTTAATCAGCCGCAGGGTCCATCCAGTGATTTCTTTAGCACACTTTGGGTGCCCATTGATATTGTTTCTTTGCTTTAGAAGGCCTGGAAATACACATTCCTAAATTCAGACACTGATTTTCAGATAGGAGCAGAATGAACATTCATAATTTGAAGATTTTTTTTCAGTTTTTCTTTCAGATATAAAAAAATACAAAATTTTATACATATTAATGGGTGCAACGTGATGTTCTGGTACATGTACACATTACATCATGTCTAAATCATGTTAAATGTATCTATTTATTAAAATAGTAATAATTCCTTTATGGTGAAAACTCTCAAAGACCTTTCTTGTAGCTTCTTAAAACTTATCACACATTATTGTTCTTTATAGTCAACTGACTGTGATGGCACAGCAGAGCTGCTTGCTCCTATCTAACCGAAACCCACCTGTGGACGGACTCTCCCTTTCCGTCTCTTCCTCCCTACTCTCCTCAGTCTCTGTTAACCTCCATTCTATGCTCAAATTCTGGGCAATCAACTTTTTTAGATTCTAAATATGAATGAGAGTATGCAGTGCTTATTTCACTTACCATAATTATCTTCTGTCATTGCATCTTTATTGTTGCAAATGACGAGATTGCATTCCCATTTTTGGTACCAGGGTCAGAACCCAAGGGTGCTTAACCACTGAACCACGTCTCCAGCCATTTTTATTTTTTTATTTTGAGACAGAGTCTCATTAAGTGTCCTAGGGCCTTACTAGGTTGCTGAGGCTGGCTTTGAACTTGTGATCTGTCTGTTCTCCTGCCTCAGCCTCTGTGTCACTGGGATTACAAGTGTGTGCGGCTGTGCCTCACTAGTTTGCATTCTTTTAATGGCTGAATAGTATTCCATCGTGTACATTTTTTTTTTTTAGTCTATTCATCAGTTAGTGGACACTCAGGTTGTTTCCATTTCTTGCCTATTGTGAATATAATTTGAGGATTTAAAAAAAAATCTTAAGTTTCACAGACAAGGACACGGATTTTGAGTCCATGTGAACTTTCTTCAGCAGTGACAAATTAACTCTAGTAAGAGCAAGTCATCAGATTGCTCTCTCTGAAGAAGGAATTGCTGTGGTACGTATGAACCCAGTGAATGGGGGTGGGTTGGGCAGGCCCTCCACAGCTTATTGTTCCAACCAAATGCTCAGATGCACCTTGTGTTTATGGTTCTCTTGATGTGCAAAATAGTGAATTCTACAAAACCTTTATGTGTAAGGCCCTATATGGGATACTGCGCATGTCTTTATGATTTCATAAAGTTAAGAACCTTAGAGTAGCATAACTGAGTGGTTCTGAATCAGCCTTGCTCATGAGGTTGCAGTGGAACTACTGGCCACGTTGAAGGCATAACTGGGGAAGGCTCAGCTTCCTAGACAGCTCAGGTGGCTGTCACCAGCCTCCTTCAGAAGGCCAGCTTCCAAGCTTATGCATGTGGTTGCTGGCAGGCCTGGGCTCCTCACCACATGTCCTGTCTCTCCACAGGACACATGAGGGTCCTCACAACATAGCAGGCAGCTTCCCTCCTTGATGAGAGAGAGAAAAGAGACTGGAACCCTACAAAGTAACTGCAGTCGATTAGAGCTGACACCCATTACTTCTACCATATTCTATTCACTAGATCCACCCACACTCAAGGGGGACAGAGTTGATTTCCCATTTTATTTAAAAAGAGAGAAATTTCAAATAATTTGCCAACCTACCTTTTAAGCCATCACACTATTTAAAAAGGTTGTGATCATAGTAGATATTTGATGTTGTTTTTTAAAAATGGAAAAAAAATTGTGCTGGGGTTGTGGCTCAGTGGTGGAGTGCTCATCTGGCACATGCGGGATGCTGGGTTCGAGCCTCAGCACCACATAAAAATAAATAATTTAATTTAAAAATTAAAAAAAAAGAAAAAATTCAAAGGTTACATCATATACCATTTGTCATTTTTTCTATTATATGTCTATGTGTATTTACAAACCTACCTATGTTGTTTTCTCACGCCTTTGTTTAGAAGTGGTACTGTACAAATATTTTTTGTTGTAGTTCTTTGCAATGTTTCATTGGAATCGATTGCTATGGGTATGATAACACGGACAACCAACAAAAGTTAACTAAGCTTAACCAACCTGATTAACAAAAAGGGTCCCTTTTCCACTAAAAGTATCTATAATGAGCATGTAAGCTTAACTAAATAAAATCGCAACAATAATATACTAATTGGTGTTGCATAATTATACACAGAAAATTCATTCTTTATTTTAATGGAACATTTTAGGAAGATTATTACTGAATCAGTAAAACTATATCAAAGATAAAAAGTTATCATCTTTTCAAATATTTCCCTTTCCAACTAGTGATATTGTATTTACCATGTAATATTATTACTATCGTAATATTATAGAATTGGTTGTTAGTATTGCTTAACTTTTAAAAACAATTGTATAATAGTTCTACTATTATTGTGATAAGTTTTTTTTGTTGTTGTTGTTGAGTCAACAATTTTTTTTGGGGGGGAGGGTGCAATTCCCACACCACACAATTTGTTTAAAGTATACAATTCTATGGAGTTTAGTATATTTATAGATTGGTGAGCACACGGTTTTAGGACATCCTCACCACCCCCAAAAGAAACACTGTACCCATTTGCAATATGACTTAATAAATTTATTCTAAAAAAATAATTACAAATTCCTCTTTTTTTAAAGGATGCCTGGGAGAGTTCATGTATATCCTTTTTTTTCTTTCTTTTTTTTTTTTTGGTGTGATCTTATTCCAGATGTGTGTGTATATGTGTGTGTGTGTGTGTATGTGTATAATTCCACATACATATGAAATATTAGACCTTATTTCAAGGATAACTTCTGATTTCATTTCCCCCAGAATAAGGAGTTGAAGGATTTTATGCATGAAGCATATTCTGTCAAACATCTTGATGAAATCTTAATAGAAGGTTAAACCACATGCCAAAAAAAAAAAAAAAAAAACAGGAAAGAAAAAAAAAGAAAAAGAGTTTTGAGCAATCATCAAAGGACAGGCTTTTCTTTACTGACCATGATTTCAACCTATTTTGAATAAATAACTTTTTTGTCTTAAATGACAATTCTGGTCACTTCACTATTAGGTCAGTGAAATCACTGTTTATGGTGCCAATAGCAAAATAATGAAAAAAAAGGAGACATTTTGGACATAAAGGGAGTGGAAATCAGCCTGTGACCCAGGGCCTGTGCCACTAATTCCCACTTCTTTCACAAAGCAGAGGACACCAGTCTCCTCCTCAGGAGGTCAGCAGCAGGAGGTATAGGGTTACCTAGGGGTCTAGATTCCAAGGACTTTTCAAAAGTAATTGCCCTGCTGGTTCTGTTTAGCTAGAAGGTCACTCTTAGTCATAGGCAATGAGGAGGAAATAATGGCTGGAAGGCCTTGGGTTGATCCATGCAGAAAAAGATAAAAATATTTTTTTCTTTGAATCAGGGTGAGTGACCATCATGTCTGCTCTTTCTTCCAGATACCTTTGGCATCCATGGCCAGCTAATGAGAAGAGGATCCTTATGTCAGCCGATTTTCCTGAATCATGGGACTTACTTCAAAACTGAGCACCAACACTTCTGCCCTGCGTGATTCTGTTCCTCTGAAATGGAGAAGAGGGCTTCTTTGTATTCAGTGGCTGAATTGGGCTCCAAATATTAAAAGTCCTGCTGACCTTGCAGCAGTAAATCATTCTAAGGAAAGGACTCCTGTAGAGCTGGAAGCTGTAGGAAGCTATAGGTATTTGCATTACACAAGCCAAACCAGAGCAGGGCAGCTCGTAGGTCCACTTGCATCTTATAGAACACTTGGATTTGGCCTACTTGTAATTCTGTTACTTAAGTAGGTTGTACGCATGAGTATAGATAAAACCCAAACCTTCCTGTTTCCTCAAACTGATTCTTCACTTGCTCTGCAATTCACATTGATTTGCTTTAAAGTTTGATTTTAAAAAAAAAGCATATCTTTTCCAGTCTCAAAATAGAGATGCAGATTTTTGAAAACCCGATTCTTCTGGAAAAACATGTCTTTTTGATATGAATTATCTCTGTCTTTTTGATGTGAATTATCTCTGTTCCAGGCATCTGGAAGTTGATACATCAATGCAGTTTTACCACTTCTCTAAATGGCCAAGCATCTCTCCAGACTCGTGTTCCTGATTATTGATCCAACCTAAGGTAAACAAACAGCTTGAATTTCTGAAAAGAGCTTGGAAAATTTTGAAGTGTCCTTCTTAGGGCTCATATGCAAACACACCCGGAATAGACACATACTCACATTCCTTTAACATTCTGATGAAAGTGAATCAGAGAAAATAAATTAGTACCTAACTTTTTTTTTTTTTTTTTTTTTTTCACAAACGGGGACTTTTCAATTTGATGAAATCTCAACTTTCCATTTTAGGATTTATTGTGATCAGGAAATGACCCTTTAACCCAACAAAGGCAAGTTGGTAATGATAATAGCACTGCTCAATTTGAAGAGCAAAGGATAGCAAATGTGAGAAGTAATAGACCACATTTCTTCTGTCTGTTAATACTCTTTATACTTTTAAAATACTGATTACAGGAGGCCATTCATTTGGACTAAGTCCCTGCTCTAGATTAAAAATCAAAATGGATTCACTCAGGCTAAGAGCCCCACCACCAAGGTGAAATTGAGCTATGTATCTGAACTTCTGAGAAATCGAGAGACAATGGCCCAACTTCCCAAACAGGCCAGTTTTAATTGGCATAATGATGTGATTCCCTCCCTCTGTCTTGAGCATTGCACACAAAAGTGACCTGAAACTGCCTGATATTAATGAATTTTCTATGGGTCTGTCTTCCTGTCCGGGCTCTACCAAGAAAGAAACTTTGAAATAAGCAAACTACTATTTTTTTTTTTTTTTTTTTTTTACCTTCTTCAGCCCTTTTCTGTCTATAGAGCCAGCCTCCTCTGCTTGGCTCTTGGAATACTTGTTCTGTTTTATGAAATGAAGCACTGCCCCTTCTAGGGTTGAAAATAATGTCAATTAAGATTTTTTAAATCGTGGTAATTTTGTGGTTTGACATATTGTTTAATAAATATTTTGTTAAGCGTGTTCTGCTGCTGCCCTCTTTTTCAGCAAACTAGTATTTTGGACGCGCAGCTACTTTTGATGTGTTCTGATTTGTCTTTGAGGAGTAAGCAAGGTTACTTAGGATTAGCGATGTTTTTTTTTTTTTAGACTTGGATTTGTTTTTCACCTTTCATTTGATTTCATAATAGACAGGAAGGGAATATGTTTCCTGTAGTGTACTGATATTCCCTGAGTCCTAGGGTAGAGACCTGAGTCTGGGGATCCAACAAACCAGGTCTGGCCGCTGGCACCCAAAGTCAAACAGAACAGGGAATGGTGAAAAGCATGAAAGGAACTTGAACCAGTGCAGCCAGGTCGGGAAGACAAGGGCACCTATGTCCTTAGCCTGTATTGGGGAGGCTGACAATGACTTTGAGGTTGGGGGGTTTGCACAGCTGGAGGCTTTTCACAGCTACCCAAGCAGGTGATCTTGATGGGGTATGATCTGTCCATCATTATCTCAGGATTGGTCAGGTGGAGGCTTTCCCCTGATGAGAAAGTTGTTGTTGCCCTGGGTGGAAGGGTTCATCAAATCTGGCTTTGTTCCTGGAATCTTAGGTGACTAGGGGCAAAGGATGCTGATGCATGATGGAGGCAGAGAAGCCAAGGCTTTAATCCTGATTTTAGCCACTCACTGGCCATTCACAGGTAAAAGTGAAGAGCCTGAGTCCTTGTTGCACTGATAAATTGGTAACCTGAGAGAATCAAGAGAATTCTTTCTTTCTTCCCAGGCACTTTTCCTATGGAACTTTGATATTTCAAACGGAGGCACTTGCAGACTGCTGCTAAATGGCTGAGCACGGAGGAGGAAGTAGATGTCTGAGAAATACCTGACTCAGTAGGACTTCCCCAAGAGAAGGTATCCAGAGGTATCTGTATTTATGTAAAATGTAAAGCTGACCCCTGGTCAGCCCTTCTGATCCTGAAGCCCATTAGCCAGATCCAATGGGCTGGCCAATCTGGCAGAGTCCAGCTTGATATTCAGTTATTGTTTTCTTAGCTTTTGCTTCCCTATTAGCATATTCAACTAACTCTACTCCACCCAGTGTTCTTATAGGAGGGAATAGCCTGACAGTCAGAAAATAGCTCCACATAGAGTCAACTGGTGTATTCCAAGTTTCTTCATCCCTTCGGATGGACCCATGAGATTGGATCAAACACACCAAGATGCTCAAGGCAACTTGCTTCCAGGTTTATAGCTCCAGCTGGGACTGTCAAGACACTGTGGATGGGGGTGTGAATGGGTAATAGGGTAGCTTTGTAAAACTCATTGGTGTTTCCTATTAAAACTACTTATACTCCACTCTTTGGATAATGGTGATCTTATCATTTGTTTGTGTCCTTCTCTGACCATTGAACTTGGCTCAGCCCCTGGGCTAGCCCCTCGCCTCTCAGTCCAGATGTGACATGCTAACCATTCTCTGTGTGTACCCTCATGGGTGAACCTGTTCTTTCTGGCTTCATGGGCTGCATAGTGAGATTCACACTATGAATTTTGGATTTTAAAAGCGCTCCTCTTTGGTGGATGTGCTTAGCAGTAATCAAACCCTCTGGTTTACTTTAAACACAAGTCTGATTTAGACAAATTGTGTCTAATACAATAGAAGCAAGAGAGAAAAGGCCATGGAGCCATAATGGCTGAAGTTCAACAGGGAGATTTGGGCACTAGGGTGATTAGGCACTTGGGCATGTGGCCCTTTTCTGAAGGAGCTAGTGATCTCCATAATAAATTGCTTTTTAGCATTATGGTAATTATTTTTTAACACTATCTTTATGAGGTGTCTCTAATTCTTAGTATGGCTGCTTCAAATTGCTATTCAGAAGGGCTGTGTTGGTTGAATTTTATTCCTGATTCCTCAGATATGTTGGAGTTCTAGCTTCGAATATTCATAGTGAGACTTTATTTAGACTAGGGTCTTTACAGAGGTGATCAGGTTAAGGTGAAGTCATTAAGATGGCCCTAAACCAATACTAGTGGAGTCCTTATAAAAAGATGAGATTTGGACTCTGAGACAAATACACACAGAGGATGAGGAGGTGAAGAGACATAGGGAGAAGCTGCCAAGGAGAGAACCTGGAACAGATCTTCCCTCAAACCATTCCTGGAAAGAACCAACCATGAAGACACCTTAATTTTGGATTTGTTCCCTTCAGAATTGAGAATAAATTTCTGCATTGAAGACATCCAGTTTATGGTCCACTGTTATAGCAACCCCATGACACTAAGGCAAAAACCTACAGAGGATTTTGATTATAGGACTGAGGGAAAGCTTGCAAATTGAAAACTTTGGTCTAAATTAAGGTCTTTAAAAAGGAGATGAATGGAGGGCACAGTGAAGCACGCCTGTAATCCCAGCAGTTTGGGAGGCTGAGGCAGGAGGATCATAAGTCCAAAGCCAGCCTCAGCAAAAAAAAAAAGGTGCTAAGCAACTCAGTGAGACCTTATTTCTAAATGAAATACAAAATAGGGTTGGGATGTGATGTGGCTCAGTGGCGGAGTGCCCCTGAGTTCAATACCTAATAACAAAAAAAAAAAAAAAAGAGAGAGAGAGAGATGAATAGGTAAAAGAGGTTTGAAAACACTGGATGTTTTGAAAGTAAGAGATATGATCTCCAGGGAAGATCAATGAGTCACACCAGTCCAAGCAAAGCTCCCACCTTGAATAGAGACAATGACTAAGGTACTAGTAATCTTTTCCCCACCTAGTTGCCTAGAATGGGCATTCTGTGGATTGCTCCATCACTACCAGTGGGTTTGCTGAGCCCGCTGTGCAAGCAAGTCCCCGCTCTTTCCTACAGTCATGGGAATCTACCCTTTTTCACAGTCAATTGGTTAATAACAATTGCAAAGGCATTTTGAAGAGTACACTCTGGGGGTGTTGGCCTACCTTTCCTTGGCTTAGAAAGGAGGCGAAGGGATCAGGACTCACAAAGAAAACCATGCAGCCTGGCTCTTATCCTTCAACAGACGTTTCCTGAGTGCCTGCTCTGCTCCAGGAGTTGGCTGGGAGCTGGGGCCAATGCACGGTTGACTAAAGAAACACGCAGTCCCTGCCCACAGGGCTCTTAGACCCATTGTTTAAGCAGCAGGGGAGCCACACAGGGGAAAGCTCACTCTCAGGGAGGCAGGAGAAGACCATGTTTTGTCACGGGAATGGCAGCAGGCTGGGCAGGAAGCAGTGAAAGCAGGGAATGGGGAAGATTTGAGGGTCTGGCGAGGCGAAGACCCCCAACCCCAGTCTCTGAGTTAGCTCCTGCTCCTCTGAATCCACACACACTGCCTTTCATTAGTTTCCCTCACTTAAGAACTTGCCTACCTTTCTTCTCAAAGTCGAGTTTTTCAAGACAATGATGAGCAAGTGCCTAATTGCTAATTCTTCTCAGAGCCTGAGCCCCACAGGCTGAAGGAAAACACATCTTTCTTCAGTGTATTCCATTTGAAAAGTAAAATCCATCCATTTGTTTCCAAATTGTTCTTCCTACCTTGAAGAAAATTAGTGTATGAAAGTGTTTCTCCCCTCTCTCTGCAGCCCTCCATCTGGAAACAAAGGCCAGCTTTTAAAAACATGTTGCAATATGTGCATTTGCCAGGCATGAAAAAAGGAGTCATGAAGAATCTTGTAGATACTTGCAGGACTCGTGAAGTTCTGATTCAGTACTACTTCATGCTCCAAGAAAGCCCAAAGGGGCTGATTCTTAATGGAAAGCCCATCTTGCAGGTAGGAGGGAAGCACATACCTTCTGCTCCTAAAAAGAGTTGGGCTCTGGTAGGGATGGCTAGGGGGCAACTGTGGAAGCCACCAGGAGGCCCTAAAGCCCAAGGGAACTAGAGGCAGGAGTGGAGGTAAAGTTCAAGCCCCCCAATAGGCCTTAATTTCCCCTGGGCTCTTGTGTGTGGGGGCTGCTTCCTTCTCTCCTTTGCTGTGCCCTGCCTCACCCTCCTTCTCTTCTCTCACCTTTACACTCACACTTTCCAGTAGAATACCTTGGTCACCCAAGTACCTGCCTGATTTAGCCCTTTCTGCTCAAGAGATTCAGATTGCTAATCTTAATTTTGCATCTCAGAAGTACAGAACCACAGACTGTCACACAGATGGAACCTCAGACAGAGGAAGAGCTGTTTTTTCAGTATTACACGTTTTTTTTTAAATTGTCCATTTGATATGCAAAAAGGATCTGTAGCTGGGTGTGGTGGCCTACTCCTGTAATCCCAACTCTGGAGGCCTAGGCAGGAGATAACTTCAAGGTTAGTCTGGGCAATTTAGTGAGGCCCGAAAGCAAATGAGTGAGACCCTCTCTCAAAGTAAAAAACCAATAAACAAAAACAAAAACAAAACAAACAAACAAAAAACAAACCAAAACCACCCAGCTGGGGATGATGTAGCTCAGTGGCAAAGTGCCCCTGGGTTAAATTCCGATAATGGTGATCTT